AGGCCCAGCCCCGGCGAGCGCCGCTCTCTGGGCAGGTACAGTCACCACCACTCCCGACACCGGAGTGGGGCGGAGCCGGACTGGGTCAGACACCACTACACCGAGGGCGAGCATGGCTGGGGCCGGGAGAAGTTCTACGCCGACAGGCCGCGCTGGGACAGGTGCCGGTACTACCATGACAGGTACGCCCCGTACGCCGCCCGGGACTGGAAGCCCTTCCACGGCGGCCGCGAGCACGAGCGGGCCGGGCTGCATGAGCGGCCGCACAAGGACCACAGCCGGGGCCGTAGGGGCTGCGAGCCGGCCCGGGAGAGGAAGCGGCACCGCCCTGGCAGCCCCCGTGCAGGAGCGCCCCACGCCCTCGCCCCGCACCCTGACCGCTTCTCCCACGACAGAACTGCACTTGTAGCTGGAGACAACTGTAACCTCTCTGATCGGTTTCACGAACACGAAAATGTAAAGTCACGGAAACGGAGACACGACAGCGTGGAAAACAGTGACAGCCATGGCGAAAAGAAAGCCCGGAGGAGCGAACAGAAGGACCCTCTAGAAGAGCCTAAAGCGAAGAAGCACAAAAAATCAAAGAAGAAAAAGAAATCCAAAGACAAACACCGAGACCGCGACTCCAGGTGAGCCTGGGGCCTTGTGCTCCTCGCGGGGCTGGCGGCGCTGTCAGCAGTGGGGCCTGTCCCTTCTCACCCAACTCAGGAACGAGTGACGGGCCAGGCCGTAGTTGTATCCGTTTGATTTATGTCTCATTTCTGTAGGTTTTGAGATTCCACTCTTTTTACAGATTTGTAAAAATTTGCCCTGTTTTTAAGCTGTATCTTTATTTCATGGTGTCGTTAAATGCCTAACAACCTTTTTTTTCAAAATGATAGTGCCATTTTTGGTGAATGCTTTATAACTCTTCCAGGAGTAAGCATGCATTGTTCCATAAATGAAAAATTGGGAGTCTTTGACCTTAGAATTGGTGTTAATATTATTATTTGTCAGATGTAGTTCTGTTTTCCTATCTGTTATATTTTCCTGAAATTCCCAGTGGCTGTGAGGTAGGCAGACAACAGGAGGTGCACTTCTCCTGTTCCTGTCCTCCTGCCCAGCGTGGGCATCTGAGACACCTTTGTTTCCTCGGCCTTTGTTTTTGTCTCCATTTTTCAACTTGAAATTCAATTGGGAAATTTGTTTCTGTATTTTTTAAGAGAGAGGGTCTTCCTCTGTCACCCAGGCTGGAGTGCAGTGATGTCATCGTAACTCACTGCAGCCTTGACCTCCTGGGCTCAAATGATCTTTCTGCCTCAGCCCTCAGCCTCTGGAGTATCCAGGACTACAGACATGTGCTACCTCCCTCAACTGATTTTTTGTTTTTGTAAAGACAGGGTCTCGCTATGCTGCCCAGGTGGTTCTCAAACCCCTAGGCTCAAGCGATCCTCCTGCCTGGGCCTCCCAAAGCACTGGTATCACAGGCATGAGCCACCGCACCTGGCCTGTTTTTGTATTTTTAAAAAGCTAAATTGGTGAGTGATTGTCTTGAAAATGACTTACCCGTGATGAGATGGATGAGCAGGAACAGAATTAGTAATTTTAGTTGACATCTCTTGAAATTGAAACCAGGGGAAAAGATTAGCAAAAGCCATAGGGAAAATAGGCAGTGGTTACTTGAGGGAAAAAATAATATTGCTGCCAGGTGTCTCAGGCACATGGGAGGGAGGGAGGCTCAGTATTTCCTTTCCCTTCAAGTAACCACTGGTTTTGGGAAAAGCTAGCAGAATCCTCCTTGCAGTGTTTGTCCAACAACTTTAGTTCCTGAGAAAGCTGAAGCAGAGGTGGGGCTGTTCAGCAATGGAGCTGAAGTTGGTGAATTTATGACCCTGGGCGGAAACAGTCATTATACTGAAGGCAGACTTGTTAAATTTTTGAGACAGGGTCTGGCTCTGTTGCCCAGGCTGGAGTGCAGTGTTGCAGTCGTAGCTCACTGCAGCTTTGTCAACCTCCTGGGCTCAAGTGATCCTCCCGCCTCAGCCTCCCGGGTAGCTGGGACTACAGGTGTGCACCACCATGCCTGGCCGACGTTGTTAATTAGATAAGAATTGTGCCTGTTTGCGTGGTGAATGGTCTCAGTGAACGGGTGTAAAGGCCAGGCTCCAGGGTCTGCTGCTGGTGGTTTGAACTCTGGCTTTTGCTTCTGCAGGCATCAGCAGGACTCAGACCTCTCAGCAGCGTGCTCTGACGCTGACCTCCACAGACACAAAAAAAAGAAGAAGAAAAAGAAGAGACATTCAAGAAAATCAGAGGACTTTGTTAAAGATTCAGAACTGCACTTACCCAGGGCCGCCAGCTTGGAGACTGTTGCCCAGTTCCGGAGAGCCCAGGGCGGCTTTCCTCTGCCTGGTGGCCCGCCTCTGGAAGGCGTCGGACCTTTCCGTGAGAAAACGAAACACTTACGGATGGAAAGCAGGGATGACAGGTGTCATCTCTTTGAGTATGGCCAGGGTAAGAGGAGATACTTGGAATTAAGAAGATAGAAACGATTTCTTAATACATTTTCTTTGCAAAGGGCGAGTAATACATAGAAAACCTCAGGTGGCATCAGAGGCTGCAGTTACTCAGATCACCCTGCCAGACAGGGTCCGGCCTCAGTGCTCGTCCCTGCAGTGCGGTGCTGTTGTCCAGTTTGGCTCCTTAGCACCAAACCCTTAGCGTTTATTGAAGGCCTAAGTGACACAGGACTGAGGGCAGCACCACCTGTGTGTCACCAAAGCCCTGGAACGTATGGCTCTGGGCATCTTGAGTGTTTGCCTCACAAAGGACCAGAAATCTTGGTTTTATTTTATTTTATTTTTTTTATTTATTTATTTTTTGAGACGGAGTCTCGCTCTGTTGCCCAGGCTGGAGTGCAGTGGCGCAATCTCAGCTCACTGCAAGCTCCGCCTCCCGGGTTTACACCATTCTCCTGCCTCAGCCTCCCGAGTAGCTGGAACTATAGGCGCCCGCCACCTCGCCCAGCTAAATTTTGTGTTTTTAGTAGAGACAGAGTTTCACCCTGTTAAACAGGATGGTCTCGAGAACTCTTGGTTTTAAAGCATTTTTGATAGAAATACTTTTGCAGTATATACATTACTCTCCTGAATCCTTAAACCTGTAGCATTCTGAGTGTGCCCTGACGCTCGGTACCGATTTGCTTGCTTGGGTTGTTAGAAGCACGGGCGTCGGCCTCTGCCTGACGCCTCAGAGACGGTGTGGCGGGCCACGGACTGTCACTGCCAGGGGTCCTAGATTCTCTTCTGCCCTGTGGGGCTGTGTCTCTGTCATGTGGCCACGCGCTGTGCTCTGACTGCACTTGAGGCAGCCTCCCCACTTCCTCTCTGGTTGGTGTCCAGTGACTGCTGGTCCTGGAGAGGAGCTGTGAGCCTGTTAGAAGTGGATGTCACTCGAGTCAGTGGACCTAGAGTAGAGGTTGGCAAACTGCAGCCCTGCGGCCAGCTTCGGCCGGTCACCTGGCTTTGTATGAACTTGGAGTGAAGAATGGTTTTAACCTTTTTAAGTGGTTGGAAATAATCCCAAAGAACAACAATGCGTTTCACATGAGAAAGATGTGAAGTTCAGACTGCAGTGTCTGTGGCTTGATTGGGGTACAGCCAGGCGCGTTCGCACGCTGTCCGGTGGCTTCGCTGTCACTGCCTGACAGAGGCGAGTGGCTGCAGCAGGGCAGGGACTGTGTGGCTTGCAAAGCAGAGAATGTTATTTGCCCCTTCACAGAGAAAGTTGGTCATCCCTACCTGAACGCCAGTTGTTTGCATTCATGTATGAAGCGCATGCCCTCCTCCCAGGGACTTTTGACGAATCATCAGGGCTGCCCTGAGGCCTTTGCTTCTCGGCTGTGTCGTGGGTTAGGTGGAGCTGTGTGTTCTGGGGAAGGCCTGTCCCTGCCAGCAGCCCAGAGCCAGTGTGCATTGTTGATTGAGGGGCAGATGGTCCTTAGAGTGTGTGACAGAGAGCCGGGGCTGCGGGGTGAGCCCCATGGGGCACACTTGCCTGTGGAGTGCTGGGGAAACAGGCGGAGCCCAGGACAGGTACCAGCACTGTCGGCGAGGGCAGGGGGCCAGCGAGGACGGGGAGCCGGCGAGGATGGGGAGCCGGCGGGCCTTTGCTGTCTGTGTTGTAGACATTCTGGACATTTCAGAATTGGTTTTGCCTTCCCATTTCAGCGAATCGGGGAAGGGGATTCGTGAGGGCTGCTTGGTACCCGAGGATGCGGTGAATGGGCTCATTCTGCGTGTGGTACGGGCTCCGAGGATCGTGGGCTCCCAGCCAGGGCTGCTGGGAGACAGTGATAGCCCCCAAGGCAGC